TCTTTTTTTCTTTTGTCTCTTTTTTTTCTTTTGTTTCTTTTTTTGCTTCTTTTGTCTCCTTTTGTCTCCTTTTTTTTCTTTTCTATTCCTTTTTTTTCTTTTTTTTTGTTTTCTTCTTTTGTCTCCCGTTGTCTTCTGTCTCCTTTTGTTTGTCTCCTTCATTGTGTTTGTTTGTCTCCTTTTCTTTGTCTCTTTTTGCCTGTCTCTGTCTCTCTGTCTCCTTTTCTGTTTCTGTCTCCTTTTCTTTATATCTTCCCCCGAGTTTCTTTATATATTGTTGCATGCACAGTTGTATTTCTTCTGTCTCCTCTTTTGCTGCTGCTGCTGTTGCTGCTGCTGCTGCTGTTGCTGTTGCTGTTGCTGCTGCTTCTGTTGCTGCTGCTTCTGTCGCTGCTGCTGCCGTTGCTGCTGCTTCTGTTGCTGCTGCTGCTATTGCTGCTGCTGTTGCTGTTGGTGCTGCTGCTGCTGTTGCTGCTGCTGCTGCTGCTATTGCTGCTGCTGGTGCTGGGGTGTATACGCAGGTATGACCTTCTGTCTGTCGAGGGTTTAGGGAGAGCGTTGAGGGTTTTCGTTTCTCCTAAACCCCAAACCCTAATTCCTTCTCTGCGGCTGCAAGGCGAACCCAAAATCACTGTCACCGTCAAACCCTCGGTAAGCTTTTCCTGCTGCTGCTGCTGCTGCTGCTGCTGCTGCTGCTGCTGCTGCGGATGCTGGTGTAGTCCCTGTGGCTGCTGCTGTTGCTGCTGCTGTTGCTGTTGCTGCTGCTGGGTCACTTGTGTCTCTTCTACCTTCCTTCCAGCAGCAGCAGCAGCAGCAGCAGCAGGACATACATCATCATCATCAGCAGCAGCAGCAGCAGCAGCAGTACATACATCATCATCATCAGCAGCAGCAGCATCAGCATCAGCATCAGCAGCAGCAGCAGCAGCAGCAGCAGCAGTTTATGTCTCCTGTGTCTCTGGTCTCAGGCTCGAGGGCCCCGCCCCTTTATTGCATGCGCTGTGCTGCGGGGGGTGCAGCTAAACCCTCGCCGGCTGCAGTCCTGTATAGACCTTCAAGAGAAACTTCATCATACACTCTGCAGGCAAGGGTTTAGGGTTTATTAGGGTTTAGGGTTTATTAGGGTTTAGGGTTTGTTAGGGTCTATTAGGGTTTAGGGTTTACTAGGGTTTATTAGGGTTTTATTAGGGTTTATTAGGGTTTATTAGGGTTTGTTAGGGTTTATTAGCGTTTATTTGGGTTTATTAGGGTTTATAGCTTAGGGTTTAGGGTTTTAGGGTTTAGGGTTTAGGGTTTAGGGTTTGTGTTATACGAGGGTTTGACTATCACATCAGGGTTTATGGTTTAGGGTTTAGGGTTTAGGGTTTGGGTGATACGAGGGTTTGACAATCAGGGTTTAGCGTTTCGTGTTTCGGGTTTAGGGTTTAGCGTTTCGGGTTTCGTGTTTAGGGTTTAGGGTTTAGGGTTTAGGGTTTAGTGTTTGCATGCATGCATGCATGCAGACGAAGAACACTAGCATCAATAGGCACATACGATCTGTCTCTGCTGTCTCCTCCTTTTTGTTACGAGAGACTGTCTCCTCTCGACATATGTTTTGTCCCTTTGGGGTGTGGGGCCTTGCCCCCCATGCAGGGCCCGGATATACTTAAACATTTCTCTTCTCACCCCCAGCTCAAGGTATTAGGGTTTAGGGTTTAGGGTTTAGGGTTTATTGGGGTTTAGGGTTTGGGGGCTTGGGGGTTTGGGGATGGGGGTAAGATTAGGCGCAAGGGGTAGGGTTTATTAGGGTTTTGGGTTGGGGTTTATTGGGGTTTATTGGGGTTTTTTAGGGTTTATTATTTTTATCAGGGTTTGCTGGAGTTTATTAAGGGTTTAGGGTTTAGGGTGAGGGCGAGGCTGAGCTGTATGCATCTGTGTATTAGTGTTTAGGGTTTAGGGTTTAGGGTTTGTGTGCAGCAATACTTGCATATGTTAGAGGGCGAGGCTGAGCTGTATGTATTGAGAGACAAAAGGAGACAGTATCTGTCTCTTCCTCCTCTTATAAATGCAGATGCATGCAGACTCACACACACTTCTAGAGATATCTTTATAGACTGCACCTCTGTAAGTTTATATATTTATATATATATATATATATATATATATATATGTATTATATGTATATTTGTTTTTTATTTGTTTATTTTGTTTTATTTGTCTTTTTGTTTTTTTTATTTTTTTTTTTTTTATTGTTTATATCAATGCAGACTCACACACTCTTCTAGGAAGATAATAACGTCTTTATGTTTTTATATTTATTTTATTTATTTTATTTATTTTATTTATTTTATTTATTTTATTTATTTTATTTATTTTATTTATTTTATTTGTTTTATTTATTTTATTTACTTTATTTATTTTATTTATTTTGTTTTATCTATTTTGTTTATTTTTTATATTTATTATTTATTTTACTTATTTTAATATACAAAGTAAATAATAAATATAAAAAACAAAATAA